AAAAGAGGTAAAAAACGAAACAATCAATGTGTTAAAGCACATAACAACAGCTTATTCCTTGGGTGGGTGAGCCTGGATGTAAGCGATAGCCTTCAAGATGGCCTCTGGAATTGGTGGCGAGGTTGGCAGGGGTGGGTTGGCGCTCAAAACTTGGTAACCGTTTTCATCAGCAACATATTGCACGGAAACTTGATCGCCTTCGGGTGCGGTGAATGAGTATTGGCCCTTGGCAACCAAGGCATCACCGCTCAGGGTACCCTCTTGTTCCGCTTTGATGGAGTTGGAGAATTCGTAGGCATATTTGTAGCTGTCTGGGTTCACTTCACTCTCCAAACGAAGGACATCGGCTTCTTCGTTGGCGTAGGCAACAGCCAAAAAGCAGGCGAGGACGACCTAAACGAACGACAATTAAATTAAATATTTAAGTTGGACGCACATCACGAAAACAAAACACTGCGAGTTATTTGATTTTTATTAAATTAAAAATAATTGGTTTAGACCAAATTTCTTCAAAATCACTTCCTGCCAGTTAATGTTTTAAAATTCTTAATATGAAATATTTTATATATTTTTTTTCTAATTGTTTTGAGACACTTACAAAGAATTTCATTGTTATGTGTTATCACGTTGATTCGTAGTACGAAACTGATATAGAAGTCTGCAATTTCATGGCTTTTTATGCGAATGTGCTAATTACTATTGGCATGCTAACCATCAAATTTTATTTAAATTTTTATTTTTTTTCTAAAAACAAGTCACTAATGACTGTCTGGCATATTGACGACACTGAAAATACAACTTCATCGCATATTAACGCTTTGTTTTGTCGCATTTAAAAACAATGTCTTTTTCGACGTTAACTTTTTGTTGAAATTTTAACATTGAAGTAATATCATATACGAGTAGGTATGTACAATATTTTACTGTAGAAGTTGTTATACACCTTTAAGACATACATACATACCATTGCTTTTGCTATTGGACAGCTGAGCACATCGGACGTCATTTTTTTAAGTTAATTTACATATTTCATCTCAGCTAAGGGCGTTAAAAATTATGCGAGCAATGATGAGGGGATTGTTTAAAATACAGTCGAATACAAATAAGTGGACACGTTTGAGAATTTATTTGGTAGAGTTTGTTGTTATTAGATATGATCCTAAAAAAAATACAATTCGAAATATTTCTTAACCTCCTTTATTAAAATATTAATTTTCATATAAAGTAGACTTATCAACTTTTCACTCTAGCTAGCGATATATACGGGGCTTAAAAAATATTATACATCAGTAGGTATATGTTTATGTTTGAATAAATGCATTCTAAGTCATTAGTATAAAATAGCAAAATTTTTAAAATGTTTTTAATGTTTCATAGTGAAATGTAGCTCCTTTTTGCTCGAATGCAATGAGTTTAGTAAATTAATAAGGGCAATTCATTTAATAATTATGGTTAAAATTTTTTTTGGAATGTAATACTAGGACTATATATAATAATCATTCAAGAGCAATGGGTAAGAATTCGCTACTACATTCAATCTTAGAGGATTTCCTTCGTTAAAGAAAAAAAATTAATATCTCGGTAATGGCTTTAGATAAATCAATTGGAACATTTTTCGAGGATTGTAAATGGGGTGTGAACCTGTTTAAAAAATTAAATTAAATTTTGGCGTTTTAGCGCCATGCGGGTTCACTTTTTTTTTTGATAATGTTCAAAATAACACCTCAACTCCTCCTCCTCATAACACAAAATAAATATAATAAAGTTTCGCCTGTGAAAGAAAAATTGTTTGACTAAAACCATAACTGTAGTCACATATGTTTGCATGAAGAATGTTCAGAAATTAACTAATTTTCCTCAGAAAGACGGTTCTTAAAAATACTATTTTCCTAACAATTATGGCAAAAATTATAAAAAAAACTGTGAGTGAAGTAACAGTCAGCAAATCATTACTTGTGTATACATATATGTACATCTTCATGGAAACAAGTGTTTTTTTGTTTCGAACAAATTTTTTCAAAACCCATATAAAATTTGCGACTTCACAGCGCTCAAAGTAATAGGGGTGGCGACACTAAAGTTTGCGTAGATATGAACATAACACAGTTGACAGTTAAACTTAGGTTCATAGCCCAGCAAAAAACACGCTTACCGCAGAAACGAAAGTGGAAACGAGCTAGGCGATAGGAATCGCTTACCCTTTCGCTTCAAGATGGCCTTATTTTAACATGGGCATGTCATTGGCGGTAAGCCCTTACCCGCAGCATTACCTTCAAACGAAGGGAGAACGCATGGATAAACAGAATCCAGAGAAGCGAACAAAGAATGCCTTACAGAGAAACTAATGTAGAATGCCTAGATAAGTACATACTTATTTATATTAAATTTAAATCAGAAAATGTCTTAAAAGATTAAAATTAATTAAAATTTCTATAAATCAGTTTTATACATACATATGTATGTATTTAGGTATTTTGGTATTTAGATTTTACTTAAAAATCGGTATGTACATACATGCATATTTAATTAAGCTTAAAATTGTACTTCCTCACTCTTGTACTTCACTTCATTGACTGACTTCAACTTCGCTGCAAATTGAACAAAGCAAAACATGATTTTTATGCGAGAAAAATTTCCACAGAAAGTAACGGTAGAAAAAGAATTTTTGGATATTCATTCTATTTTTCAGCTGACTACGATGCAGCATTCTACTTTGCATTCCCCGAAATGAAGCAAAGCGAAATAAAAAAAAATATTATAGAACATTCTACTTTGCATTCCCCGAAATGAAACAAAGAAGCGAAATAAATAAAATATTGTAGGACATTCTTCTTTGCATTCCCCGAAGCCAATTAAGAAAAATAAAACAATAGAAAACGGAATCAGAGAGCCTAAATTGGTATTATTATTTCAGATTATTACATACGAAGTACAACTTATGAAGGATTTTATTAAAATCATTGTTTAACAAGCATTTTTTTATATTTTTGAATTTCTTTTGGACTTTAACATTCTTTTTTTTAATATTGTGAGGCTTTTTCGATAATTTAGCAGGCTATGCCTGCTTGTGAGTTTTTTTTTTTTACTTTTTAAAGAATTGGCAACTTTTCCTGTGTCTTAGAATAAAGGATATCGTATGAAAGGACAGACTTATAAATTTAAGAAAAATCATAACCCTAAAAAATACATGAAAGTCAAGAGCATTATTAACAGAATATAAATTAAATGAAAACAGCTTCAACTAATGGGAACTCGCACGATCATCAACTCAGGCAAAAATATTTACAAATTAATAGCAAAATTTAATAATAAATATCTATAAAAATTAAAGAAACTACGTTTTCTGCAACAAAACCGGTGAGTTTGATGGAAAACAGCGGCATTTCGAGGCTTGACCAGGACAACGGCACATACGTAAGTCGAAAGCCTGGGTATGTCCCAGAAAAGGGAAACATCTAGCAGTGCTAGTCATACTAGTTTAGTTTAGCTGGCAGGTCGCCAGCTCCAGAAGCCCTGCTATCCTTGTCGCGGTGCTTTATCGACTTCGCGTGCTCGACTGAGGCTTATGAATAATTTTCCCTACTGGCTTCAATGTAATTCAGTAGGGTGGAGAGATGTTCCTTCAGAAACTTTAACGTGCTCTGAACATCGGTTACATGCTGATTTGATGCCAGCGTCCTTTGTGCAGTTAATCCCAATTGAATGCATCTGTCTACCGTCAAAGCTTAATGATGAATCTTTTAACCTTTGGCTGAAAAAGTTTAACTAATAACAGGCGTGCTCAGATATAGATACTTCAAAACCGAAGCAAGAATGGTATTAAATGGCTTATGCCAGATTCAAATCAAAGGGCTCAAATAGTCCCTCAAGCTTTTATAAAAGAAACACTGACAGACTGACTGACCTAAAGTTCTTTGGGGATACATGTAAGGTTTTGCCAACCTTGGGTACGAAGACAACTATAACCATCCTCCGAAATTTCGTAATATAGCTCCACCAATTGAGCAGACAGCATAGATAGGGGGCATCTAGCGACCCCAAAAATCCGCAGACTTCTGCAGTTGGCCTTTAAATCCTTTCAAAGAAAGAGTTGATGGTCAAAAACAGATCTCAATTAGTTCTATTCAGATTCTTGTAAGACTCATTTCTATAAGGCGTTTCGTTCATTATAGCTAGACTAACTAGAGATTCTATTTAGACACTAGATCAGAAGAGGCCAGAGGAGACGCTTGAGATCAAGGACCTGCTCCCTTATTGCTCAACGGCTTCGCTCTATATTTTCACAGTTATGATCTGGCTAACGCTGAAGTTAAGCCAAATATCTTGGCGCTATCAGTTCCGACGTCAGCAACTTTCTTACGGCTGCTCAGCCACGGTGGATTAAGCGATAAACGAACGATTCCTTATAGTGCTGAAAATTCCTCTGCAATGATCTTCTCCACCACCTTCGCGCAGAGGCTCTCGCTGTGTACAGCTAAATGCTAATCTCGAACCCCCCTATCAAACAGGCGCTTAATCGAAAGTAGAATCCATGCATATTTTTCATATTAGCTTTTTGGTGCTTGCTGAGTGTTGGCCTATAAATTGGATATTTCGCAGACACAAAATTGAAGCTGACATCGGTTGGCTTATGTTTTTACTTATTATTATTCGTATATCTTTCGAAACCTAAATTTAACACAAATTTCTAAAACTGCTTTTGGGTAACGATATAAAGAATTGTTAATAATGATCAACAGGCTCTAATTTATTTTCACATATGTCACTTGCCGCTTTATTATCAAGATTTCCAATTTCGATCAAGATTTTAACACCCTCCCTTCCCGCTTTTCGCTCTATTACTTTGTGTAGATTTTGCGGCAACCCATTTTGTATTTAAAAATTAGGCTTACTCCCATAAAATCAAAGCAAATTGCAGATTTAACATTTGGCAATTCTTCAACTTGCAAAGCGAATATAAAAAATCTATTGTGCAGAGTAATTTGGGAACGGTGATTTCGCAAAACCAGTTCCCGACGCCGCAAAGGGAGTGTAAATAATGACAGCGTAGTGCGGATTTCTACCGCACCACCAACACTTGTGGCAATAAATTTCTTTAATTAAATTCAAAACTGGAAACATTGAACAAAGCACCTTAAAATGTTGGTATTATTTTAGCATTTAGATCAGTGATACTCTTTGTTAGCTTAACAGATAGCTATAGCTGACTGGCATGGAATAAATAAATTCAGACGAACTCCGTTGAAAGCGCGTAGTCGAGAATAAAATGCAGTCAGACAAACTCAAATCCAAATTTCAAAATGAATTGGATAATTGGAAGCAATGGGAAAAATACATATTCTTAATAATAAAAACTCCTTCATTGAATTGGCTAATGAAGAGGTAGGAGTGCTGAAAAATTAGTCTGAAGTCAACCCAGAAAGTTTCTCGTATGTACTTCAACTCGATAATCATATCGCAGCTGAACAAAATTGTAATCTGGAGCAGTCATGGGCAGAGAGTTATCAGCAGTGATCGGACTTAAAAAAAAATTCTGTGTGGTAGAATCGGGGAAAAAAATGTAGTAGATTTCAAAAAAATGTGGTAGATCTCTGGGTTTGGAACAAACTTTGTACAAAAATTAAAGTTTTAGCTAAATTGCAAACTTTTTAATTAGA